AGCCGTGCAACGTTGCACAGCTGGCGAGCGAGGCGCTTGAATGGAGTGGTTCCCTCTCTCCTCACCTTGGGACCAATGGGGCATCTTGGGACCAATGGGGCATCTTGGGACCAATGGGGCATCTTGGGACCAATGGGGCATCTTGGGATTAATGGGGCATCTTGGGATTAATGGGGCATCTTGGGACTAATGGGGCATCTTGGGACCAATGGGGCATTTTGGGACTAATGGGGCATCTTGGGACCAATGGGGCATTTTGGGATCAATGGGGCATCTTGGGACCAATGGGGTATTTTGGGACCAATGGGGCATCTTGGGACCAATGGGGTATTTTGGGATCAATGGGGCATCTTGGGACCAATGGGGCATTTTGGGATCAATGGGGCATCTTGGGACCAATGGGGTATTTTGGGACCAATGGGGCATCTTGGGACCAATGGGGTAAAACTAACATCCCCTGGCACCCATGAGTGCGTCTTGAGTAAACTGGCGACCTTGAGCAACATGACAAGCTTCGGAGTTAAGGAGGAGGGTGATGATGAAGCAACATCAACGACAGGATGAGCAGGGGCCAGAGCAAGCAAGCAATTCATTTAGGGCGGCTTTGAATCCTTTGAGCTCCTTGGAGTAACCAGGCCTTGGTTAGGGAGGGCCTCCCTAACCAGGCCTTGGTTGGTTAGGGAGGGCCTCCCTAACCAGGCCCTGGTTAGGGAGGGCCTCCCTAACCAGGCCTTGGTTAGGGAGGGCCTCCCTAACCAGGCCGGTTAGGGAGGCTAACCAGGCCCTGGTTAGGGAGGGCCTCCCTAACCAGGCCTTGGTTAGGGAGGGCCTCCCTAACCAGGCCTTGGTTAGGGAGGGCCTCCCTAACCAGGCCTTGGTTAGGGAGGGCCTCCCTAACCAGGCCTTGGTTAGGGAGGCCTCCTCCCTAACCAGGCCCTTAGGGAGGGCTCCCTACCAGGCCTTTAGGGAGGGCCCTCCCTAACCAGGCCTCGGTTAGGGAGGGCCTCCCTAACCAGGCCTTGGTTAGGGAGGGCCTCCCTAAACCAGGCCTTGGTTAGGGAGGGCCTCCCTAACCAGGCCTTGGTTAGGGAGGGCCTCCCTAACCAGGCCTTGGTTAGGGGGGCCTCCCTAACCAGGCCTTTGTTAGGGAGGGAGGGGTTGGAGGGCCTCCCTAACCAGGCCTTGTTAGGGAGGCTCTCCCTAACCAGGCCCTGGTTAGGGGAGGGCCCTCCCTAACAGGCCTTGGTTAGGAGGGCCTCCCTAACCAGGCCTTGGTTGGTTAGGGAGGGCCTCCCTAACCAGGCCCTGGTTAGGGAGGGCCTCCCTAACCAAGCCTTGGTTAGGGAGGACCTCCCTAACCAGACCTTGGTTAGGGAGCCCCTCCCTAACCAGGCTTGGTTAGGGAGCCTGGTTAGGGAGGGCCTCCCTAACCAGGCCTTGGTTAGGGAGGCCCTCCCCTCCCTAACCAGGCCTGGTTAGGGAGGCCCTCCTAACCAGGCCTTGGTTAGGGAGGCCCTCCCTAACCAGGCATTGGTTGGTTAGGGAGGGCCTCCCTAACCAGGCCTTGGTTAGGGAGGGCCTCCCTAACCAGGCCTTGGTTAGGGAGGCCCTCCCTAACCAGGCATTGGTTGGCTAGGGAGGGCCTCCCTAGCCAGGCCTTGGTTAGGGAGGGCCTCCCTAACCAGGCCTTGGTTAGGGAGGGCCTCCCTAACCAGGCCTTGGTTAGGGAGGGCCTCCCTAACCAGGCCTGGTTTGGGAGCCTCCCTAACCAAGCCTTGGGTCGGGGCGGTCTCCCTCACGACGGCTTGGTCAGTGAGGCCCTCCAGGGCCAGGGCTTGGTCAGGGATTCCCTCCCGACCAATGCTTGGGGCACATGAGCGCATTGCGCTGCACCGCCCAACATAGATTGCATCACATAGGCTGCGAACAACACTGACGTCCTGTGAAGTCTTGGGCCCGAGCGACACTTTGCGTGGGAAGCCATGCTCTCTGTGATCCCACCACCACTACATACGAAAGGAGACCCTGTTGTGGTGGCACATCTCGCTGACTCTTTTCGATGGGCCCAGACTGCATTAGAACGAATTGATGCTAACCCAGTGGAGGTCGTAAGCTTGTTAACATCGCGTCGCATATCTACCAGTAGTTCTTTTTATGGTATCGGTGCACCAGAAGTTGCAGACCAGATCATCATGAATGTTGTCAGGGTATTTGTTCAGCAACACCATGATCCTAATCTCGGCGCTGTGCCGACGCCCCTGGAGCTGGTGAACGAATGGGGGATTGAGAAAAATAGGAAGTGCAACATGGAAGTGCTGCACGCTCGGTCCCGCGACAGCTCAGCCGGCCCAAAGCACATGTTTAAAGATATCTGTTCGTTCCTCCCACGTGTATGGAAGCAACGATGTGGGCTTGTGAGGGGTGTCAAGCCATGGTCGCGGTCTCGCCTGGCACAGGAGCTACCCTTTGCTACCATGAAGCTGTCTGCGTACTGTCTCACTTGTAAGCAGAGCTGTTCACTTACGCGGGCGCACGTGCACCGAGCAGGATCACCATGTGTACATCATAGCAGTTTCGGCGATCGTAGGCAGGATTCAGGGGAGAGCCACTTCTTGTTCTGGGTCTGGTGCGCGATCATGAGGATGCTGTTGAACCCCATCATCATACACGAGAACGTTCCAGGGTTTGGGCTTAGTGATCTCAGGCGCACGCTTGGAGATCTCTATTGGATCATACGCGTGCCTATGACCCCTACTGAACTGGGCTGGCCGACTGCTCGGGATAGACAGCTCGTGTTGCTCGTGCTCAAGTCGTGGTTGTCGCCCGTCTTGCAGCAGATGGGCGTCGCAGAAGAGGAAGACAAGGTTTTTGATGCTCTGCAATTTCCTGCGATCATTGGCGATCTTTGTGGCCGTCGCACAGACGTCACCTTCAAGTGGGACGCCTTCCTCACTGCAGAGCCCGCAGAGGTCGAACATGAAAGGCGATGGTCTGCAAATCGGCCAGCTGTTCAGCAACGCTGGGCTGGGGTTAGCGGCATCTATAGTAATGACAAGTTCAAGGACCGTATATGACAAACCTTGTAAACAGCGTCAGGGTTCCTGTTTTGTTTCCGTCGGTCTGGGGCCCTTGGCGGCCCTTGGGATCGGAGAGCATGGGTCGAGGGGCCTTCAAGGGTCGAGGGCTCCCGCGATGTGTTGTTTTAATTGTCCAGTCCAGGACCCCAGGGATTCCTTCTTGGGCAGCATCACGCTTGGCGAGAGGAGTAGGTACTCTCTGTACATGAAGAAGAACCCCTGGATGGCGTGCAATGTCAACCAGAACCCAGACAAGCGGGTTGTGAGGGTGCGTGCTAACGGCGCTCTGCCGACTCTGACCAAATCGGGAGGCCTGCTTATGCTTCCTCAAGGTGTCCCAAGATTTGGAGGCGTAAATCCAAGGTGGTTTGTACCTTCGGAGCTCTGGCTCGCAATGGGCTTCCCAGTTCGTGAGTGGGCCAGCGAAGCATGTGGGTCCACAACATGCATGTTCTCAGAAGGTTCCGTTCCCCCAAGAGGCAGGACCCCCACTAGCCAGCGCTCTCAAGTTGGCAACACCATCCATGTAAATGTGATAGGTGCTATGACGCTATCAGTGTTGCTCAGAATGCCTTTTCTCGGACTGACTGTGCAGCCCTCCCAATCAGCCTCTGCGAATTCACCTGTTCAGCGGTCGTTGCGTTTGCTGTTGAGTAGCTCCTCGCCCACCTGCGCTGGAGTGCCAGGGAAGCGGAAGCTTGGATAGTAAGTAAGTTGACATAACTTTCGTTGGTGTATAGACAGTGTATAGGCGTTGTCTGAGCATAGGAGCTAGGGACACCTGAGACCGCGGCCCTCAAGGAGATCCACAGCGAGACCCCAGCTCTAGAGGCTCTAGAGGTAGTTCTAACGTGCCCAAGACCCCAAGACCCCATGAACAGGAAGCTGAGCTCTCTGATTCCTCTCTGCGCCTAGGTTTCCTCACCATCTCACGCCACCAGGGGTGCGAAGATAATCGTATCAGCGCGCTGCGGCCTGGGCTAGGTAGGCTGCCCTTCATCAGGGATGCGACGGCGTGAAAGGGCCCTTTGAACGGGAAGTCAAGCTATCCGAGTTGCCTTTGCGTCTAGGTCCCCAACCTCTCTCAGGCTGCCAGGGGCGCGCAGATAATCGCACCTCGCGCGCCGCGGCCGCTGGGCTAGATAAGGCTGCCTTTCACCAGAAGGAGATGCGAGGGCGCGATGCGAGAATGTAACCTGAGGCGCGTTCGAAGGGCCTTTGAGCCAGACCTCTCTTCCCATCACGTCGGCGCTGCCCACAGCCATATTTCCCGAGTGACTTTGTGTCCTGGCAAGCAAGCCAGCCAGGCCGCATATCGACTGAAATTCGTTCTTCTCCTGCGGGGGATCCAGGGATCCAATGGCGGCTGGCGGAGACGACGTGCTCGGCCAGCCCTTGGACATTGGCCCCTTCGATGAGGGGCCTGTGTCGTTGGAGGACAGGTATGCGCTGACCGGGAGGCTCCTCCAGGACGTCGCGCGGTCGAAGTACCTCAACCCACAACAGGACTGCAGCGGTAGCAAATCAAATGGCAACTCACCAGGAGGATGGAGAGGAGGAGGATGAGGAGGAAACAGCCGAGTTTCTCGTTCGAGCGTCCGCTGTTGGATGGGCTGGTGGGGATGCGCGCGAAGCGTCGAGGATTGGAGTGGAACCCTGCCCCCACCCACTATCCCCGAAGACCCCGCCGTCACCCCGACAATAGGACCACCCCGGCCCTAGAAACAGTTCAAGTGTATACCCAAGGACTCTGGTATAATTCCCCCTCCTCCGACACTTTCTGAGTCAAATTATCAGCCCGACCTCCTAAGGCTTAGGAGTTCGGGCTCAGGAAGTCAAGCTTAGTAAGCTTGTCTTGTTTTTTGGTAACTGATGTTCCCTCAGGAGAACATCACGCTCCCCTTTTTCGCTGACGACGGAGAGGAGCTCTGGGCGAGGCATGAGCTGAACCAGGACCGCTCTCAGAGCGCGACAAGGGAGAAGTACGTGGAGTCTCTGAAGATCAACGGGTGGCTGCTCGGACAGCGAGGGGAGATTCTCTTCCAGTATGGCGGGCAGTACAAGTCCAGGGTCTCGACCAACGTGCACCGCAAGTTCAGGTGCATCGGAGGAGCGCACTTGATCGAGGCCTTCTACATCGCCCTCAGGAGGGATCAGAATAACAAGCAGCTGGAGGCCACCCTCAAGGGCGGGGTTCCGAATTGCACGGAGATCGTGGCGAACGCGCCCAAGGACGCAATCATATTCTTCAAGGATCTTTCGAACACTCTCCACGGCGTGGCTAGTGCGACTGGCTTTGTGCAACTCTATTCGAAAATACCTGATATGGTGGACGGCTGGGCCAATCATTGGAAGGCAAAAAAGAAAGCCGCGATTGCGGCCGGCAAGGGCCAACCGAAGCGGCGGAAGCTCGGCAGGAAGACTTCCCAACCAGAGGAGCCCCCCGTGCCTGATCTTGAAGATGCTGATGCGGCGGGCAGCGAGCAGGCCGATCCGGGTAAGAACAGCGAGACTGACCAGTGGGCGTGGCTGCAGAGGGCGTTCCCAAAAACGTTCTCGTCTTTCATCCTGTACAAGCGGTGCCGCGCGCTGAAGGCTAAGCTATCGATTGGGGATTCACCAACCATCTGGGACAACTTCGAGGCACGCATGAATGCCACCTGCGAGTTCACGGACATCGGCGATATGAAACTGCACGAGGCCCTTATGGCAGTGCAGTGCCAGGTTGTTTTGGCCCTGCAGACTTTACCTGAGAAGATCTTCAAGATGCTGGCCTTGCCAATCCTGTGTCTCACAGTGCCTTCGACTGACAAGATGCCCTTCCTGCTCAAGAGCACGACTGATGCCCTCTCTCTACAGATGGGCCTCCTACCTGCGAAGGTTGCCACGCAAGGGGCGCCGTTGAAGGCGCCGGCAGCCAAGGCCAAGGCAAAGGCGAAGGCAGCCGCACAAAGCGGGGGCGGTGATAACATTACTGTATTTGAGGACTGCTTGGATATCATCGAGAGATGCAAGCGCAACGCTGTCCATGTCGGAGAGACTGCGTCTGACATGGCCATCGCCTACCTCGTCGAGTTCTTAGTGTTCAAGTTCACTACAGTCACTGTTGGCAGTAAGAAGTTGAAGATCAAGACCTACAGCAAGCTTCGAGGCGCTCTTGCCCAGCACTGCGTTGCTGCTCACACGTTCAAGGAGGACGAGACGCATGAGCACCTGCGCGACCTTGGCATCGGCACTGATCCGCAGGCCGGCGCTGAGGGCGAAGAAAAGGAGGCACATGAAGATGTCAAGGAAGAGATTGTTCTGGGTCCAGCCCCGAACGGCTGGAAAACCGAGGAGTTGAAATTGATATGTGAGTTTCTCAAGGATGAACCGAACATCGTCACTGACGCAGAGAGTCTTTGGGGCGAGTTTTCAATGTACGCTTCGTCAGGTACAGAGACATTCCAGACAATTGCTTCTGTAACTCACCTCGTGAACCGCCTTTCCAAAGCGATGCAGTCAGTGTGGGCAGACGTGACATGTCCACTTGGCAAGCAGAGCATGCTTCTCGCAGACATGGGTGAGGTCACTGAGTCTGAGCTTACGGACTGCCAGATCAAGGAGAGCTTAGCAACAGAAGAAAAGTGGATGGGTTTCTTCATTGCGCTGTTCCCCATCGTGGAACCATGTATTCCAACGAACCTGGTCAAGTCCTGCAAGATGCTCGTCGCCTGCGTTGACGAGGCTGCCCTGACGGATAATCAACGCGTCAAGCTCAGCCTTGCTCTGAAGGACGTTCACTACGTCGTTGCAGAATTTGCCGAGGCCAGCGGTGACGCCTTGTCAACGGTTGGCTTTCTAATGGAGCTTCGAGCTGCGTTGACTGTTAAACTACTCGAGGAGATTAATTCCGCACTCAAGACCAAGACGAAGAGCAACAAGGAGTATGTTTTCATCAGCCTGGCGAACTTGCTGAAGTCAATGTCTGCTGAGGTGGCGAAGCGCGACTTCTGCTGCGATGGCAAGAAGGATTGGACTGACTCCTGGGCGGCTGCCGCAGCCAAGGCATGCGAGCTCCTGAAGGACGAGGAGATCCGCAAGCGGCAGGCAGAAGAGTTGCAGAAAGAACGGGAGAAGAATGCTATCGAGCGGCGCAAGAAAGCAGAGGCTGAGGCGGCTGCACATGAAGCCGCACAGAAATTAGACCTGAAGAAGTTAACGCTGGACCTTCTGAAGGGCAAGGCTACTCAATGTGGAATCGAGCTCGTTGGCAGCGAGACCAAGACAACGTTGATCGAAGCAATTGTGAATCACCATAAGAACAAGGTCAAGCAGGAACCAGAGGATGAACAGGAGCATGGCGCGGCGGATGATAATACCAGCGCGACCTTCACTGAAGAGCAGTTGCGGCTCTTTGTGAGCCAGCCGCGCACGAGACCGGGAGCGGCCGCCACAGACGGTACAGATCAGGATCAGGCGGCAAAGCGCGAGAAGAACATCGCAGAGTTGGTCCGAGTATACGACAGCACAGCCTACCCAGCGATCACCTCTATCATGCCCGTGCATGATGCAGCAGTGGACAGAACTACGCTGGCAGCCCTGGTCACGATGCAGCTCCAGAAGCTCCAGGCTTTCAACCTGGATGCCATTTGCCTCAAGGTCAAAGCAGGGAGCTCCATCGCAGATTCGATCGGATCCAGTTTCAAGCCGAAGCTTTTCGTTGACTATGACAAGCTTGATTGGGATGCCTTTTCGCTGCCCTTGAAAGGCAGAGTGGTCTGCACCATCGGGAACGCTGGCCAGAAGTCCTTCTACGACATGGGCTCGATCGGCATCGACGATACAAAGTACAACATGATTGCCACTCCAGGCGACTTCGACCTGGGCTGGCGAGTCAAGGCGCTCAGTCCTGACAAGGAGGACATTCCCGCGCTTGTTCCGCACGCTATCGACGTGCAGCTGAAGGTGGCTGACATCAAGAGGGCACTGGACTTCACGGTCGAAGAAGGCGATGAACAGGATACATGCGCCCTGCACGCTCAGGTCCTCAAGATGAATCCCGACTTCAAGAAAGAGATCGAGAACATGAAGATGGAGCGGCAGCAGCTTCACGACGGTGGCGAGACATGCGGCCCCTTCGTGTTCGAGCTCACCAGGGCAGCTCTACCAGGAGAGAAGGCAGCCTTCGAGGCGAAGGTTGAGAAGGCAAAGGGCCGTGAGAAGCAGAGAAAGGCCGCGGAGAAGCTCCAGACTGAATTCGACGAGGAGGCAGAGGGCGACGCTCGCCTGAGCGTGGATGAGCTGCTCTCTGTCGCGCCTCACGTGGTCAAGAAATAGCAGGCCTGGGCGGCCTGAGGGGTCCCGAGGAGCGCCCGGGAGGCGCCCGTGGCAGCCGTGGCAGACGGAGCGCGGAGCTCCGTCAGTTGACCAGTTGACTAGCCTGGTCGGCGCCTGGCTGACCTGGAATAGCAACAGAATCCATCATCACCTCATCCAACGAGGGCTCCGCTGAACCCTTTCGATGTTTTGCGATCCTTGATGGGAGTTCCGCCTGGCCCCTACCTCCTTTCTGGTCCTTCCTTATCCTCCGTCCTCCTTCTCCTCCGTCCTCCTCCTTCTCCTCCGTCCTCCTCCTTCTCCTCCTCCTCCTTTTCCTCCTCCTCCTCTTCCTCCTCTTCCTTGGGTCTTCTGTCGGCAGGGGCTGGCGGCTGGCGGGGGCCCCGATCCGCGTGAGGGGTCCTCTGAAGTGGGCGGCTTTGGTGGGAGAACAGACGGCCACGCGCTGAGGCCATCCGATATTCCTGACCCTTGCTTGGGATTCCGCCTGGCCCCGAGGACCCTTGGCGGGGATGGATTTCCGCCGAACCCAGACGACGACAACCAGGACGAGAAAGATGAGGAGGGGCCCGAGGGGGAGGAGGAGGAGGACGACGACGCGGAAGGAGGAAGAGCAGGAGGAGGAGGAGGGGGGCAGGACGGAGGATGAGGAGGATGAGGACGAAGGCAACCCTTGATGAGGATCCCGCGATCTCCAGAAGAAGTTGTAAATAATATGTAGAAGAATGTCCCAAGCTCATGCATTATGCTTTTCAGTTTCATTGGTTTCACATGCTGTGAATTTTCCAGAATCTAGTGTGCGCCCTTAACAAAATCCCTGATTCTCCAACATACAAACTTCACGAAATACAGTTGTTTGGTTTGCCGACGCCTGCAGAATCTGTTTTTTCCTGAAGATCGACGCTTCGAAATTCCATTTTTTCGAAGGCCAGCGCTGGCCAGCACCTCAGGAATTTCGCAAAATCTTCCAGAGGAAAGAGCCGTTTTGGATTACAACCAGAGGCTACTTTCAGCGTCCCCAGGTCTCCCCAGGGTCTGGGGCCATGACTTGTTTGGAGTCCCGAAACGGTGCGGTGACAGACCGTGCGGTGACCTCGAACTCCCCCAAGACCTCACCGCACGGTCCGTCACCGCACGGTCTTGGGGCCCAGGATGCCCCGGTCGCCCGAGGCGTCCTCGGAGAACGACCCGAGTCCCAGAACCGTGCGGCGACCCCGAATCCCGACCGACTCACCGGACGGTGTGGTCACCACCCCGTCAGGGGGGTCCCCGAAGGCCTGGGGCGCGAGAGCCGAGGGCTCCCGGAGCCCACGTCGTGAAGCAGGACTGGCGTCGGAGTCGGAGGTACGGGCTGCCTCCATGCTTCTACGTTCCTCTCCTCCCATACCTTCCCAAGGGCTCCCAACTTCGCGCTTCGCACTGCGCGAAGCGCGAAGTGCGCTCTCGCGCCGAACCGCGAAGCGCGAAGCGCGACTAACTTCGCGCCCTCGAGGGCGCCCTTGCTTCCCTATCCACATTCACTCAGAATGATGCTCCCCTTCCCCCCTGACTCTGAGCGGGCGTCGTCCCGCCCTCTGCGCGTCCTGATCTCGCCTCGCAGGACTAGAAGCATTGCTGGTCACGTGTCTCTGCAATATGGTCGCCTCGGGTCCTCCGACATGGGACTGCCGCTGCAGCGCAAGCCTTTCGAATCGGCGCTTTGCTCCCGTCGTTCAGAATTAGAGGGCAAACAGTCCACCCCCATAATAACCACCCCGACACGCGACGCCGTTTACTCAACGCCCCCACTGAAGGAATCGAACAGGGCAGGGCTTTCTAATAAACGCCCAAGGCCGTTTAGTAAACGCCAATTGTCTGGGTCCGGGTGGTTTTTCCTCCCTCGAAGGATGGCACTCTCGCCCCAGCGCGGGCCCACTCTTCCGCATCCGAGGCCTTCCCCATCGGTGTTGCCCCCCTCCCTTCCCCTCCGCGCGCCTTCCCCGGGGTCCTTCTGCTCCCCGCGCTCCTTCCACGCCACCTCCCGCTGCTGCTGCTGCTGCTGCTGCTCGTCCTCGCCCTCCCCCTTTCCGTGTCCACCGCCTTTTTCCAGCTGCTTCTCCTCCTGCTCGTCCGCCACCTCCTCCTCCTCCGATGTGCGTGATTCCCCTTTCCGATTGCGCGTGCACTCGACCAGGATGGTAAGGACGCGCGGTAAGCCGATTGCGCGTGCACTCGACCGATTGCGCGTGCACTCGACCTTGGAACGCCGTGTGGACGTTTTCCGTGCGGAGCGCCGCAGAATGCCGAGGGATGCCGACTACCGAAAGGGCAAGGATGCAAGGGTAGCCCTGGAAGATTGCACCATCCTGACTATCCTGGCTGACTGCACCACGATGGGGTCTTTTTGGGGAGTTCTGGGCCCGCTGTGGCGCGCGTCGGCGGATGGAGGAAGACACGGACGCGGCGGGAGGGGATGGGCGGGGGTGGCAGGGTGTCAGATCTATGGCGCGAGCGCACCAAGCCTGCCACAGCCTCTCCCCCTCCGATTGTTCAATGCCTCCCTCCCCCTTCTCTCTCCCTTCTCCCTCTTCCTTCTCTCTTCCTCTCTCCCTTTCTCTCTCTCTCTCTCCCGCTCCCTCTCTCCCTCTCTCTCTCTCTCCCGCTCTCTCATTCCCTCTCCCTTCTCCCCCTCCGTCCCGTTGCCATGCTGCTGCTCCCCTCCTTTCCGGCTCCCTCCCCCTGCTGCGTTTCCCCTGCACCTCCCCTGCCACCCCCTTCCTCCCATCACAGCCTCCCCCAAGTCCCCTCCATCTTTCGCCTCCCCTCCCTCCCCTGTCTCCATTTTGCGGTGAGTGTCCCTCTTTTTTGTTTCTCTCTCTCTCTCTCTATCTCTCTCTCTCTCTCTCTCTCCTTCTACATGTCCTCATCTCTCCCCTCTTCCCCTCGATTCCCCCTCCTCCCCTCACTGCTGCTCCACTCCCTTCCTCCCGCCTTCTCCCCCTTCTACCCTTTCCCTTCGCTGCCCCTCCCCCCACTGTTGCCCCCCTATCCCCCTCACCCCTCCCTCCGCTGCACCCCTCTCCTCCACTGTCGCTTTCCTGCTCTACCCTGCCTCCCGAAAGTTACTATGGATACTACTCTCCCCTCTTTTATGGAACTGTCCAGTGCGGGGGTCGCGTGTCTAGCACTGGATTTCAGACGGCAGTGTATGTCCCCATATCCTATGTCCGAAATGCACTGCTTGTTGTTGTTACCCGCCGCCTTACCAGTCCTCCTCCATTCATCCTCCTCCTCACCACCATCACTACCACCATTACCACCACCATCCGCGACCACCACATCCGCCGTCATCATGAATATCATCGTCAGCAGCAGCACCACCATCACCATCACCATCACCATCACCATTACCATCACCATCACCATCACCATCACCATCACCATCACCATCACCATCACCATCATCATCATCATCATCATCATCATCATCATCATCATCATCATCATCATCATAGTTGCCCTCGTCATCAACACACCAACATCATCATCATCATCGCCAGCGGAACCATTGCAAAATGACGGTTTGTCTGACCTGTGATGCTCCCAAGCACAAGTTGTCCCACTTATGGGCCCCTGGCGCCCCAACGCGTCGTCAATCGACACGGTTTGGTTCTTGGGACTTTCAAACGTAAAGCTTTCGTCGCATTCCCCCCCCCGCCACCCTGCTGTAGGCATCCTACCTTAAGTTTCTAATACAGCGCGGCAGCTGCACACAGCACAAGCTGATTGCGTCTGGGCAAAATTACAACACACACGCACGCGCAATGCCAGATGCATTCTCTGTTTGAGCTGGCGGCGCGGCCACATGCGGACGCGAATGGCGCCCCCCACAAGCGAGAAAGGGAGAGGAATCTACAGCGTTTTCTTTGTCCACGTGCTGCTTCGACCACTCCCGGGCCTAGGAGCGGGCAGTGGGAACGGGAGCCCCGCAGCGACTGGGACCACCACAACTCTCAGACGGAGAGGCGCTCGCAGACGCAGAACGGGGCGTCTTCGTCCTCCACGCTGGCGGTGCTTCCACGCACTGCCGGCGTGGAGCAAGGCGAGCCCCTCAGACATCGGGCTCGTGCTGCTGGCGGCTCCCAGCACGCACGCACAAGCACACATCTTCCTCGAGCGGCCGAATGTCGTCATTGCAGCGAGGGCCACAGCGGGGCGCGGCGCGACTAGAGGTCAGACGCGCGCACACGCACGCGCACGCGCACGCGCACGCGCACACGCACGCGCACGCGCACACATTCACGCCCACGCCCACGCCCACTCCCCGCCCATGCCCACGCCCACACACACACAAACATACACGCACGCAAGCACGAACACACAAACACACACACACACACACACACACACACACACACGCCCGCCCCCCCCCCCACACACACACACACACACACACACACACACACTTACTTACACACACACACGCACGCACGCACGCACGCACGCACGCACGCGCGCACACACACACGCACATAAACATACACACACAGACGCTCACACACACGCACGCACACACACACACACACCTACACACACGCCTACACACCTACACACACGCACACACGCACACACACATGCACATGCACACATACACCTACACACGTATACATACACATGCACACATACACACATATGCACATACACACGCACACGCGCACGCACACACACACAAACGCACACGCACACGCACACGCAGACGCAGACCCGCACGCACCCACACACACGCATACAAACAAACACATACACACACGCGCAATTTTTTTCGGCGCTGCGGCCCCGCGCGCTGCGACGGGCCGTAGAAAGTCGAATGCAGGCAGTGGGCACGCATACACGCACACGCACACGCGCACGCGCATGCGCACGCGCACGCGCACCCGCACGCACGCGCACGAACACGCGCGCGCGCACGCACACGCACACGCACACAGCATACACGCAACCACACCTACACACGCACCCAC